TCCAGATAAAACATAGTTCTGATGGGGATGGAGCTAATGTGAGCAACCAAGGATGCCATTATCTTAGTGAAGACCCTGGGGGCCAATGAAAGACCAAATAGGAGAGCGGTATACTGAAAATGACACCCTTCGTGGCAAAAACGCAGAAATTTGCGGTGGCTAGGCCGAATTGGAATATGAAGGTAGGCCTCTGTTAGGTCAATTGAAGCCATGAAATCCCCTTGTCGTATACCTAGAAGGATGGTCTGGAGGGACTGCATCTTAAACCGGCGATATACAATGTGCCGGTTTAGAGATTTAAGATCAAGGATCGCCCTCCAGCCTCCTGAAGATTTGGGAACCAGGAAGAGACAGGAATAAAAGCCTTCCCCCCACTGGGGAGGAGGGACGGGTTGGATAGCGTTGATATCCAGGAGATGTTGGATGGCCGAATTAACCCTGGCAGTTTTGACGGGGTCCCTAGATGTAGGGCATTGTAGGAAAAATTTGGGGGGAGTGGAACGAAACTCTAGAAAAAGGCCAAAACGAATGGTAGACCCAGGCGTCTGAAACAGTAACATCCCATGTGTCAGCAAACTGGGATAAGCGGCCCCCCAAAGATAGGTTGGAAGGGGACTCAGCGGGACCGACGGAAGGGTCGGCCCCTGCTCCCTCGAAAAGGCCGTTTGAAGCCAAAACGAGAGCCTTGTCTAACCTGGGATTCCTGGGTAGTCGAGGACCTAGGCGAGAAGGTTCGTGGAGATCGCTGATTGGAGAAGGACACGTCTGACCCACGAAAGGAAGAGGAAGGATGAAAGAAGTGTTGAGGTCGCGTATCCTGGCGACGATGTAGAGGAGGCAATATTTTGCGATGATCCTTTGTTTCAATTAAGAGAGGATTCAGCTGGGAACCAAAGAGTTTGTCCCCGGAAAAAGGGGAGGAGGCCAGACGCCACTTGTTTCTGATGTCGGCTTGCCAATTACGAAGCCATAGCAGCCTGCGGGAGGTGATGGAGGTTCCTATGGCTTTGGCCGAAAAATGGGCTGCGTTGAGGGTAGTGTCAGCGGAGAACTCCACCGCCGCCAAGATCTTATTCAGGTCCTGGTGAGTGCGCTGATCGGACGCAGGTAAACGGGCTTGAAGTTGTCATAGCCAAAGGATCGTGGCCCTGTTGAAAAATGATGCTGCTGAAGAGGCTTGCACTGACCAGGCCGACGCTTGATGGCCCTTCACCAAGGTCCTTTCTGCTTTCTTTTCTTCAGGATGCAAGCACTCTTCAGGGGGGCCTGTGAGTGGAGAAGAAGAGGATAGAGCCAATACAGGTGAGTCTACAGAAGGCACTTGGAGAAGAGAGGAGAAATCAGGGCCATATTGTAGAATCTTTTGTCCAAATTGTTAGGTACTGTCGGAGGACCACATCCGAAAATAATTTGGGGGCCGGGACCACCTCTTTTTGAACAGCAGGTTCCTGAAATAAGGACGTGGCAGGATCTGAGGCCGCAGATGAGGTTGGAACCACAGAAGAAGGGCCACCCAGGTGGGTGACAAGTTGAGCCTTATGGAGCAAGGAACGAAACATATGGGGACGAAAAAGGCCAATGAATGCCGGTTGATCAGGTTCCAGGCCCTCATCGTCTGAGAGATCCTGATCTGGAACAATCTCCCCATCTGAAAGGGAATCCTGACTAGCAGAGTCAGCAGCCTTACAGACCTCCCGGGATTCTTCCATTTCATCCTGGTAGGATGGCTCTCTGGATTGTTGCTGAGAGCAGGAATGAACAGCAGGCTCTAAATGAGGCCTTTGCTGTAGGCCCTGGGAAATGCCCTGGCATATAGCCTCAGATATGAGGGATGCTAAGGCTGGAGGAATGTCTTGGAAGGCCTGGTAACTCTGGTTGGGTGGTTGGGCCGCAGTGGCCTGCAATGAAGATTGAGCAGGAGCAGGAGCAAGTGGAGGGTCCTGAACAGCAGGGAAAACCGAAGCTGCCTCAGAATCAAAAACATTTTCCTCCACTACTGATCTGTCCGGAGATAAGGCTGGGGTAGGCCCTTGGGAATGCATAGTGGTGGGAGGGGCCCTAGATGAACCTGAGATCTCTGGAGGAGGTTCGGGGTGACCATCAGAGGGCACTAGGCCCGAAGCAGTTTGGGCTCTGGAAAAGGCCTTTTCCATGGCCTTGTGGCGCCCTTCTTCCTCCCTTGAGGGTTTAGAGCCTGAAGAGTGCGAAGGCACGGTGGAGCCAATGGCTCTGGATTTGGAAATCCAGCCAGAAGATGTCCCCTCCGCGGGATCCTCCTCCCTGGTTCGCTTCCCCTTAGAGTGGGCTTGGCGGGAAGAGCGCGATTTCGCTGCGTCCGCCATTTTGAAATCCCCCGGGAAGGCAATTAATGGTGGTCAGGGCAGTTTTTCGGGTCCCCAGATACTTGCGTTCGCCGTAATGCAGATCCTTGTCCTGGGAGGGCAGAGTGATGTCGCTAGCCTGTCGGCTTAAAGCGCGACAAAAAAAGCGCTGTTTGGCCTCGCGCTGAGGAAAAATGAGGCCGCTGCTGAGCTTGAGAGCTCTGAGGCGCAGCGTGGACCGCCGAATGCCAGGAGGCGGTTAGCCCGGTGACAGAACCCCAATTTGCTCAGATGGTACTGGGGTTCTGTGAAAGAGTACCTCCGCCAATGGATGAAAGGCAGGAAAGCCGGGAAGCGCGGCAGAGCGAACTCGTGCGCGCGCTTAAAAGCGCTGCCGTTCGGCAGCTAACGAGAGGAAATAAAGCCAATTAAAGGGAAAAAGCCGTAGAAGAGTCCAATCCGTTCCAAAATCCAAATACCAAGTAGAGACTATCAGATAGCAAGAACAAACTACAGACACAGCTGTCCTGGCAGACCGAGTCGAAAAACTGGAATCAAGCAGGAAAGGGCGGAGCTTAGACTTCCAGTTGACTCGGTCCTATAGGCCAGCTCCCTGTCTATCACCCACTACTGACTGCCGTGACAGCAAACAGGAGAAAGAGGCTTATGCAGTTCGTTGGGCATTGTTAACCTGGCGGCACTTCCTAGAAAGCAGTAAGACCCCTTTTGAAGTCTGGACTGATCATAAAAATCTAGAAGCCTTAAAGACCCCAAGGAAACTCTCCCCAAAACAAGTACGATGGGCTCAGTACTTTAAACGATTTGATTTTACTCTAAAATACCTCCCGGGGGGGGGGGACTTTCTGGCGGATGCGCTATACAGAAAACCGTAATACAATAGTGCAAAGTCAGATGTAATCAAACCTATAGTACAAAACAATCAACTAGCCGCTAAAGTAGTCACCAGATCCCAGGCAAAACAAGAAACATTGACGGACAATGACACCATCCAAACTTTTAAACAAGCATTGGCCACTGATGAATGGTTTTTGAACAACAAATCCAGCTGTCTGATGAAAGAAGACTTGGCTTGGGTGGGTGGGGGGGAAGTTGTATGTCCCTGCAAGCCAAAGACTATGCTTAATGGTATGGTGCCATGACTCCAAATTAGCTGGACATTTTGGGTTTGTGAAAACTTTACACCTGATTAAAAGACAATTTTAAAATCACTAAAAAGGACATAGAAAGCTATGTAGCTAGCTGCCCCATTTGTGCAGCAGCAAAAAGACGCCAGGGAAAATCCCCAGGTCTATTGCAGAAGGTAGCTGAACCTTCAGCGCCTTGGAGAGAGATCGCTATGGATTTCATTGTGGAATTGCCAAACAGTGAGGGAAATACTGTTATTTGGGTTGTGACAGACCTATTTTCAAAACAGGCACATTTTATACCCTGCCAAAAGATCCCAACTGCTAAAAGTTTAGCCAAATTATTCCTAATACATGTTTATCGACTTCATGGTGTTCCACAAAGGATGACAGAGAGGCTGTCCACAAAGGATGACAGAGGGGCTCAATTCACCTCCAACTTTTGGAGGGCATTTTTGGGCTTACTTGGTACTGGCCAGGGGTTGAGCACATCCTTTCATCCTTGTACTAATGGTAATTCTGAAATTTTGAACTCGGTGCTAGAACAATATTTAAGATGTTTCATTAATTTTCAACAGGATAACTGGACCGAACTTTTGCCTTTTGCTGAAGTTGCGTTTAATAATGCTGTACATTCAATTCAATGGTGGGAATGCATGTTTGTTCGGGTTCTCAAAGGAAATAGTAAAGAAAACATCTTCACACGTGTATTGGCTAAAATCTGCATTGTGACTTAAAGGGAGGGGTTTCTACCACTTTAATCCTACTGCTTTGCCTAAGGGTATTCAGATTGTGCTTTAGCTGGATGGCTTTCACTTCTGCTTAATAAAAGAATCCTTTTGAACAACTACGTTTCAAGAGTTCATACTTTCTTAAGTTGGAAGGAGAGGCGATCCTTACAGACTGAATGATAATATACATTCTGGAAAAAAATACCAACTATGACAAATGTACTAAACTTCTGTATTCCTCAAAATCTTTTGTGTCATTATATCAGTGTTACTTTGAGATATTAAGCAGTTTATCTTGTGTTTGCCAGAAGAATATACAGAAATATCAACTCCTAATTAAAATTATAAAGCATGTGATTAAAAATAAATAAATATAAATAATATCAGGAAGATAACAAAACAGAATAAAATAATATTAGGAACATCAAAATAAATAGAATTATTTTTGGCAAGAGGTCTTAGGACAGCTATAGAGCTATAGAAATTATATTTTACCAGTGTATAGTTCAAGGCCAACCATCATTGAAGTGAATTGGAAGAGTTCTCAAAGAGATTATTCACAAAAAAAGAATTATGGGTGGGGAAAGAGCTCATCATCAATAATACTCACTTATCACATATTTTGTTTGTATTTTGCATATCAAAAAAGGGGCCAGTGTAGCTACACTGGTAGTACCACAATACTTATGAAGTGGAAGATGATCAGGACAGTAGTGATCAATGAAAACTATGAATTTAGCCCATGAATTTAGCCCATTCATTGAGTTTCATAATATGTAAGATGGATTTATTCATTCTTTCAGTCAAGAAGTATGTGATCCAAACATAGGAGGTAAAATTATTATGTGTCCACAATGTGATCAAGAATGCACATACTGGAATCTCAACATCACATGTGACTCTTCCAAGGTATTTTTCCTTCAGCATTAAAAAAATATTACTGTGACATAAAATGCTGTTTTGAAATAAACTGAAAATATGTGGAGAAGGAAGAATATAAGATCAGCAATAAACATAAGAAGTGTAACTGATTAGTACAACCCTTAGCACATAGTTTTTAAACAAAATTAATCCAAATAAAAACCATCTGAGAGATTCTGTAGGCCTGTAAACGTACAAGTGAAGTAAGCTACTATCCAGTACAGCTAAACAGATTGGGCTTCATGAAATCATCTTAATAAAGCAAACACTCCTCTTGTATATCCTTATTCTATATGCGAAGATCAAAAACAATACAATAGTATGGTGAACATGACTAGGGATTAAGGGAAATGTCAAGTTAATTTCATTCAATTTCCCATTTCCCAATCCTAAATTTGCTGTAGGCATTGAACATAAGTTTGCAATTTTAAAAAGTATAGGAAATAGTATAAGATCCTAATATTTAATATGTATTTTTCCTGACTAGATATATTTTAGTGCATCTTCATAACATATATGAGCTGTGGTGGTGCAGTGGTTAGAGTGCAATACTGCAGGCTACTTCTGCTGACTGCAATTTGGCAGTTCAAATCTCATCAGGCTCAAGGTTGACTCAGCCTTCCATCCTTCCCAGATGGGTAAAATGAGGACCCAAATTGTTAGGGGCAATAAACTGATTCTGCTTAGAGAGGGCTGTAAAGCACTGTAAAGCGGTATGTAAATCTAAGTGCTACTGCTATTGACATATATTTTTGCAAATCATTTTTCTTTAGCACATTTCATTTTTGTGCCAATTGCTCAAATATATAAATCTGATTGGAGTTATAAAAAGATTATTTGGGTTTCATTTTACCTCCAAGAAACTAAGCTGGGGATCTCCCCATTTTATCCTCACATCAATCCTGCAAAATTATTTGATGTGAGAGGGTGATTGGTGTTAATCAATTAAGGGTTGCAGGGTTGAGTGGATGCTGGTATCTAAGGAAAGTTGGGTTTTCCTATTTGGAAACTGTACATTCCTACTCACATTACGGTTGACCTATATTGTGGGTCTGTTCTCAAGGAACATATAATAACCCTTTTCTTCTTTTAAAGGGTCGTATTACAATATTATGATTTTATCATATGAAAAAATTACACCAGAAATTGGCATGATTAAAATAGTGAGATCCACAAAAACCATGTTTCCATATAATAAGCTTATTATATAATTGGTGTTCCACCAGAAGACCGTCTGTTTGCATGATAAGAATGCAACAGTTAGAAAAACTGATCTGTGGCATTATTTTTATGGATTCGTGTTATCTTTTAATAGAATTGTATATACAGCAACAAACAGCACACCTTTTAGGCTACCTGGCATATTTTTCTCAAGCAAGCAGATGGACAGGGCCATCAGCTGTCAGCTGGGGACCCAGGAGGAGATTCATCCATTTCTGTAATGAAGAAGGAATGTAGTCAGTCACTGTGTATATAGTGCAGTGAAGCAATGATTGAATGCAGATGCTTAGGTGCATAATATAATAAAATAATATATGCACATGACAACCAAATGATAAAATCTACAATGACAACAGAGAGTTAGAGTTAAAGAATACTGTATGTTAAGCCATTCTCTCTTCATGTTTTTCAGAAACTCTGTATATTTGACAGCTTTGGAACATTAGTGTTTGCAGTGTTTATGGGGATTTGGGGTAAGCTAACTTCTTTGTTTTGCATACTGAGTGATTAATTCAATAAAATGGGACAAAGTGTCATTTATGTTTATGAGACACCTCAATCTTTATTATAGAATTCGTATAATATTTGAATTTGTATAGACAATAGACAAATGTCAGCAAACAAGCTTAAGGACTTGGCATGCAAAAGGAAAACTGTGGGCATGTGCCATCAATTTCTCCTGCACAGCTGTGTACACAGAAATTAATCAGCCTAAAAGCTTCTCAATTTCCCGGGTTAGCTCTCCATGGCGCTCCTGAAAAGAGAGAGAAGATAACAGATCTGAATCCTGTAACAATCTTTCCCCTGTACTTGCAACTCTTCCTATGAAAAATGCCTAGAACAAGGCGTCCAACCTTGTTAAGATTTCACCTCCCAGAATTCCCCAGCTATTCCATTATGGAATTGCCTCAATCCAGATGCAATATATTCTTGATAGAAAAAGACTTGTTGCAATAAAATTGCTAGTTCATCTTTCTCTCTTCAAAAAATAAGCTACAGGAAATTGAGTTTATAAGCTAGGAAGATGTAACTGAACATGTTTTGAAAAATCTTCTTTAAAAAAAAGAGTGGGAAAAGTACCGTATTTTTCGAACTATAAAATGCACAGGAGTATAAGACAAATCTTTTGGGGGGAGGAAAACAAGAAAAAAATCTGCCTTTACCCATTTGCTGCCACCCATTGCCACGGCCCACTCGTCATGACCACCACCCATTCGGCGCAGCCCATTCACCGCCGCCGATCACTGCCACCACTGGCCGAAAATGCAACACATGGAGGCCAGAAATGCGACGCGCGGAGGCTGAAAACAGCCAAAGGGTGGGGGCCAGCGGGTGGGGCTTTGGCAACATTTAGTGTATAAGACGCACCGCAATTTTCACCCACTTTTAGGGGGAGAAAAAGTGCGTCTTATACTCCAAAAAGTATGGTACATAAAATGGCATGGAATTGTTGCAGGTGGCAACAATTTGACTTTCACTCATACAATATGTACTGATTGCTTTTCTTGACTTATTCTTTGATTAGTTAGCTTGTTTTTGGAGTTTTGGAAACGACGCCAGGCTGAATTAGAATACAAATGGGACACAGTGGAGTTTTTAGAGCAAGAGGAACAAATATGTCCAGAGTATGAGGCAAAATGCCACCATATAATAGTGAATGAAATTACACAGGTAATTGTATTTACAGTTTTAAGCGTTTTAATTAAAAATATAGTTTGAATGAATTCACTCAATTCTTCTTTTCTAATTACCAGAGCTGCATGTGTATAGTTATACAATATACAAACATGCTGCAAGAGGGATTATTAAATTTCAATAATGCTGAGCAAAAGGCAGCTTCTTAGAAAACCTCTTTTCTTGACTTCTTCTACCACAGTCTAGTTTAGTGCACTATGACATTTTTTCTCTTTTACCTATGTAAATAGGTAAATGGTGGTAATAGAAGCAACATCTTCTTGCCTTTGATCTGCATTGTAAAAGTGTCAGTTAAGGGGGCAGCAGGTAGATTGACTTGTCTAAAATGATCAGATCGTGCCTTTAAAATTACATGGGAAATAGGCAGTGGAACAGAAAGTGTAGATCACTTGCTTCTTGTATGAACTGTGTGCCATTTACATTTTTTAATTTATATGAGTTAAAGTGGCACATGGCTATGCAATGTTGCATAGCAATAAACTTCTTTCAGATGCCAAGTTTGGGGTTTTCCTGGATCATAGGCTCTGGTGGCAGAGTTCTCATGGTAACATTGCTACTATGGATATGGTATCCTACTTTGACCACAGAATACACAGTAGGGGTGATGATATTTGAAGTTAAAAATGGGCTCTTCTGACTTTTGCTAAGCAAATCACATATGAGGGAAAGAGACAGAGAGACCATGAAGATCTCTAATTGCTGCTATCTCATTTAGATTAATATCTCCCATGCAGCAATGCCAGCTTACTCTCATTTTGGTGTGGTTGTCAGGTGCAGAAATTTGGGCATAAGTGCATGTATTGGCCATAAAATGATACTTTTACTATAGTTGATGGTAATTGCAAATGGTTGCTCAATGTGTCAGTTGCTAAATAAGGACTACCTGTATTTCAATCTCCAGCTTTAAAAATTTAGGTAAAACTGCTGGGGGGGAAATGTATAAACCCAATTTCTCCTTTTTCTTCTCTTTCTTCTCTCTTTCTCTGTTAAAGCTATAAAAACCCTTTGTTTTTCTTAATTTCTTCATTATAGCAAGAATATACTGAACACAAAGATCATTTTGGGTATCTCTCATATGCAAATTATTACTGTATTCAATTTCATTTTGCTAATGATGGTCTATGCCAAAATAAAGTATATTAGCACGTTGCATTTTTCTTATTGTTTAATTGCTAGATTTGTATATGAGAAATAATTCTTCTAAAACATTATATTTTGTTATATTTTAATAAATAAAATTAATAAATTAATGTAGAAATGAAATAAGTTTTTGGAAATAAAAAACTTGCTGTTGAAAATGAAAAACTATTACCAAATTAATGAGATACAAAGAAGAAAAAACTAGACAGGTTTGAAGTTTCTAGTTTAGAAATTAATTAGAATGTAAGAAAAATTACATATTCTTATATACTTGTCCTAATAATCTTGTTTCAATTAACTTTGTTTATACAGCAAGAAGAGTATGTTCCTTATACAACCTGTGGAAAGTATGTACGGATCTTCTTCTGTACAAGTGCTGTCTTAATCTGGGTAAAATTAGTTGGTTCATACTATTTAGAAAGTGTTAATTTCTGCTATGATAGCTCCTTGAAAGAGCAAAATTATGTGATCACTATTAAAATGACAATTACTGCAATAGTATAATTGTTTCTTTTTACAGATGGAAATAGGAAGTTTGCTTTGGAATACATCACTCCATGCAGAAGGCCAACATATACAATCTAGTATGTGTGTATATGTATACCAGTATATGTATATGTATATATACATATGCCTGTGTGTGTGTGCGCGCGCACACATACACACACATGTATATATACACACCCACACACACATGGTCCTCAACTTATGACAATTAAGGCCAAAATTTATATTCTTAAATGAGAAATTTGTTAAGTGAGTTTTGCCCCATTTTACAACTTTCCTTGCCCCAGTTGTTAAATTAGTAACATGGTTGTTAAGTGAATCTGGTTTCCTAATTGACTTTGCTTGTCAGAAGTTCGCAAAAGGAGATCATATGACACTGGGACACTGCAATCGTCATGAATATGAGTCAGTTGCCAAGCATCCAAATTTTATTCACGTGACCGTGGGGATGCAGCAATAGTCATAAGTGGGTTTTTTTTTATTGAAAAGTTTTACAAAAAAAAGGTTTTTCCCCCAATATTCCCCCCACCCTTTTTCCCTCCCCCCACACCCCCACACCCCTTCCCCCCAGACTTCCCATAGCAAAATACAGGGTATTTCAGTTAACAATCATAAGCTAAATTAACCTATCTATCCTTAGACTACAAAATCCCCCCCTGAAACCTTAACTCCACTATAGATAACATAATACTTCTAAAACTTAACATTCATTCATAAGCTATTTGATATTTTCTTGTCTGACACTTATTTTGAATATAATCAATCCATCTTCTCCATTCTGATACGTATCTTTCTTGTGTATAGTCCTTCAAATACGCTGAAATTTTCGCCATTTCTGCTAAGTTCGTTACTTTCAGTGTCCACTCTTCAATAGTAGGCAGAGTCCTTCTTCCATTATTGCGCTACCAACAGCCTAGCTGCTGATATTAAGTTCAAAATCAGTTTAGTCTCTAATGCTGTACAATCCATCGTTATGCCCAATAAAAACAATTGAGTAAATTTCAACCTTTTCTTCAAAATGTTCTGCATCACCCACCAAATTTTTATCCAAAATGCCTTAATTTTCTTACAAGTCCACCATATATGATAATAAGTTGCATCGTCACATTCACATCTCCAACATTTAGCTTGCAAGTTTGGATACATACATGATAATTTTTTAGGATCTAAATGCCATCTATAAAACATTTTATAAAAATTTTCTCTTAAGTTTTGTGCTTGCGTAAATTTCTAACCCAAATCTTTCCCCATGTTTCTATCATCACTGGTTCCTGAAAGTTTTGTGCCCATTTTATCATACAATCCTTAATCAATTCCATTTCTGAATCTATTTCCAATAATGCATTATACAACCTTTTAATATGCATTTGACTTTGATCTCTAATCTGTTTTACCAAGTTTTCCTCATTTTGCATAACACCAATTTTTTGGTCTTCCCTCCATCTAGCTTGAAGCTGACCATACTGAAACCAGGTGTAAATTATCCCTTCTTCTTTTAATACATTTAAGGGTTTCAATTGCAGTTTACCCCTTTCCATAAAAAGAAGCTCTTTATAAGTAATCACCTCCTGTTTTTGTTCTATACTTACAGTATGTTTTCTATTGCATGTCTAGGATTTGCCCATATAGGTATCTTGTAGTTTAACTTATATTGATACTTTTTCCAAACCCTCAGCAAGGCATTTCTAAGTATGTGACCCTTAAACACCTTATCCACTTTTTTTTCGTATAACAAGTAAGCATGCCATCAATATAACAGATCATAACCTTCTATATTCAACATTCTCTCTTCAGTTAAATTAAACCAGTCACTAATTTGTGATAAAACAGCTGCTTCATAGTACAATCTTAAGTTAGGCATTTTAAGACGTCCTCTCTCACGTACATCCTGTATAATTTTCAGTTTTACTCTTGGTTTCTTCCCACCCCAAATAAAAGTATTAATCCCTTTCTGCCACTCCATCAGGTTTCCATCTTTCTTAAGCACTGATATAATTTGAAACAAAAATAGGAACCTAGGTAATACATTCATTTTTATTACTGCTATCCTTCCCAGTAGAGATAGTTGTAACTTTTTCCAATTTTCCATTTCTTTCTGCACTTTTTGCCAGAGAACTTCATAATTGTTTTTAAATAATTTCGTATTTGAGGCTGCAATATACACTCCTAGATATTTAACCTTTTTAACTATTTCAAACCCCGTTATCCTCCCTAAATCTTCTCTTTGAGATATGGACATATTTTTAGTTATCATCTTTGTCTTATGTTGATTTACTTTAAATCCAGATACCTTTCCATATTGACCTATTATGTCCAACATATGTGGTGCCGATTCTGTAGGTTGAGATAAAGTAACAACCAGGTCATCTGCAAACGCTCTTAATCTATAATCTTGCTGTCTAATTACAATTCCTTTTATTTTATCAGAGTTACGTATCTTCTTCAGCAAAACTTCTAAAGTTAAAATAAACAGCAATGGAGACAATGGACAACCCTGCCTTGTACCTTTCTCAATTTTAAAAGAATCTGTTAAACCTCCATTAACTATTATTTGTGCTGTTTGTTCCTGATATATTGCTCTAATTGATTGTATAAAATACTCCCCAAAATGCATTTTTTCTATTATCTTAAACAAAAATTGCCAATTCAATCGATCAAATGCCTTCTCTGCATCCAAAAATACGAGCGCTGCAGGGACCTGGTTATTTTTTTCCAAATATTCCATTAAATTTACAATTTGTCTAACATTATATTTCATTTGCCTCCCTTTCCCTGATTGGTCATTATGAATTGTTTGTTGCATAACTGGCATTAATCTATTCGCTAATATCTTGGCAAAGACTTTGTAATCAGTGTTCAAAAGTGATATTGGCCGAAAATTTTCAGGTTTGATACAATTTTGATCTTCCTTCAGGATCAGTGAAACAAAAGCCGTTCTCCAAGAGGGTGGAACTCCTCCCCCTAATTGAATTTTACAAAATAAAACAAGGGGTGGCGTGTTGGACTGCTAAGAATTTGTCTATTTGGGTTTGCCAGTCTCCTGCATCTAGCTGTGCCAGTGCCTCTTTGGCCGTTCTTACAAATCTCTCAGCCAATCCATTACTGGCTGGATGAAACGGGGCCGAGAGTGCGTGCCGGATGCCTAATTCTGCCAAGTATCCCTCAAACTGGGTGGTGGTGAATTGGGGCCCATTATCCGACACTAGGGTGTCAGGCGCCCGTGGGTGGCAAAGAGTTTGCGGAGTGCCTTTATGACTGCTTTGGAAGTCATGGATGGCATGAGAGTGATCTCGAGCCACTTTGAAAAGGCGTTGACGATCACCATAAAGGTCTGGCCATGGAAAGGCCCTGCAAAATCTATGTGAATCCTTGACCAGGGCCCCCGGGGATGCTCCCATTCCTTGACTGGTGCTGTGGGGGGATCTGGCCTGGACTCTTAACAGGGGTTACACTTCCCCACCCACTCAGTGATGTTGTTATCCATTTGGGGCCACCATACATAGCTCCTAGCTAGACCCTTCATTCTTATAATTCCCGGATGCCCTTCATGTAACATTTTTAAAACTTTTCCCCTTAAGCATAAGGGCACAATGACACGGTCACCCCAAACAACCCCCTTGCATAGACAGTTCATTTTTTTTAGTAAAGAATGCTTTGAATTCCCCGCCCTCAGTCTTTGCTGGCCAACCCCTTGTGGCCCAACTCATGACAGTTCTCAGCACAGGGTCTTTAGCTGAGGCTCTCGCTACTTCCATTGAAGTAAGAGGCCCCGAGTCCAAAACATCATTAAGGAGAACTGGTGCCTCCAGGGTTGGGTCCTCTAAGAGGTCCGGTAGCAGGCAGCGGCTGAGGGCATCAGCATGTCTCAAACTCAGTCCCGGTTGGTGGACAAGTTGGTAGGAGTAAGCTGCCAGGAATATGATCCACCGTGTCATACGTAAGGACAAGGCAGCGGGGGTGGGCCGTTCTCCAGCCAGGAGGCCCAAAAGTGGACGATGGTCTGTGACCAATTTGAAATGTCGGCTGAATAGATATTCGTGAAATTTCTTGACCCCCAACACTGCTGCAAGGGCTTCCCTGTCCAGCTGGCTGTAATTCCGTTCCGTGCTGGACAAGGTTCGAGAGTAGTAGGCGATGGGTGTCTCTAGCCCGTTCGGTAGTCTATGGCTCAAGACGGCTCCCACGCCAAAGGGGGATGCATCACAGACTAGAACAAGCGGTAGCGTCGCATTATACTGAATCAGGAAACTGTCCGCGGATAGGAGTTTTTTCACTGCATTGAATGTGGCAGCTTCAGCCTTCCCCCAGACCCAAGGTGCATTTTTGGCCAGTAACCGGTGTAGCAGTTTGGCGACCGTTGCCTTGTCTCTTAGGAATATGACGTAAAAGTTGAGGAGACCCAAGAAAGCCTGTGGCTCCAATTTGTTTTTTGGTGTGGGCATGTTCTGGATGGCCCTTATTTTGCTCTCGGTGGGGTGTATTCCTGATCCATCCACCTGGTACCCCAGGAATTCCACAGAGGGGACTGCAATCATGCACTTATTTCATTTTACGCGAAGTCCAGCCTTCCTGAATTTGGCCAAAACCCGACTGAGTCTGTCCCCTAGCTGTTTCTCGTCTGTTGCACTGAGTACATTGTCAAAGTAGGGCACAACCCCTGGCAGTCCCTGTAACAGACGCTCCATGGTACTTTGGAAAAATCCGGGGGCTATGCTGACTCCGAATTGAAGTCTGGTGCATTTGAATGCACCTCTATGGGTGACTATAATCTGTGCTTCCACGGTAGCGCCATCTACCGGTAGCTGCTGGTACGCCTCCGCCTACTCGTTCCCGGAGCTCGTAGTGCTGCACAAACTTCGATGGTACCAGGGCTTAGTGTGCCT